TTTAATTTATATCCCGCCCTTCTCCCAACGGGACTCAGGGCGGCTCACAACATATTTAAAACAAAGGCATATATACAATCCCCCCCTGTAAAACCGAATTAAACCAAATTTTAAAGTTGTGTTATTTCGAATTCCTTAAAATGAACCCAGTATAAAATCCTCCCTAGGCCAGGTCCGCTTGCTGAAAAAGCCATGTCTTTGCTTTCCCCCCATATGTATGTTTTGCTGATTGGAGAAGAGGTGCTTTGTTCACATTTGCATGCATTACAAGGCATCTCTTCTAAAAGATTTGCAGAGCTGTTATTACAGGAAATCATTTTCCCCTCAAATTTCTGTCAATGTTATATATTTTTGATGGGATCGCTGCTTTTTTTCCTCACCCAAATGATCTGATAGGTGACTTTTTTGCTCAAGAATTATCTAATATCTAATTATTTAATAGTGTATGCAACTAACTGCAGCTTCTTGTTAGAAAAAGTAGCATTGAAACTAATTTTTATTTAGTTTAAAGGCATACAGCTGGGGGAGTTTAAGATGATAAAGAGTGTGACTCGGCAGCTGTAATCTGTATTAATGACCTTGCATGCTCTAGCTAGAGCAATTTGGATTTAAACAAACCCTGAGGAATAAGTGCATTATAATAACATAATAACATAGAGTAGTTGCAAGGTCAGGAACAGTTTATCACCAAACATTTTTTTGTCAGCTTCTTCTAATTTTTAGTATGAAACTCTAGTCTGATAAAATATTTTTTCCAATTCATCCGTGCTAGAAATGCATGTCATGTACCAAGCCAATCTTACCATTTTGTTTTTATAACATAATATTATACATTTAATATTAAATATTAAATGAATAGAGGACTTCTTAGAAAAATCACCCTAGATCAGGGATAGGCACCCTTGGCTCTTTTATGACTCGTGGACTTCAACTCCCAGAATTCCTGAGCCAGCCATGCTGAGGGCAAAGGGAGAGGTTTCCATGCTGGCTCAGGAATTCTGGGAGTTGAAGTCCACGAGTCATAAAAGAGCCAAGGGTGCCTACCCTTGCCCTAGATCATGTAGAAGTTCTTATAGGTGGACTTAGAATAAGTGGGCTGCTCTTCTCTAAACCTGCCTGACTGGTCTGGTACATTACAGCAAGCTTTATTAAACCAGAAGAAGCTCCAACACAACAGGTGTGCATGAAATCAAAATATAATGTTCTTCCTACTTCACAGAGTAAACAAAAAGCTATGGACATTCTTTCCAAAGACTAGGCACAGTACAAAATAACATGGGGAAAAACATTTCCTGTTCTGTATGGTACTGGTGTGCTGGTTGCCTTCTGGCAATTTTACTTTTACTCCCATGTTAGGTCTCTACTTACCATTTGTGGCTAAATTCCTGAGGCAAATACAAGCTTGGTTTGAAATCTAGTTGAAGGAAACAAGCAAATCAGGAAGTGAGAAAAAGCACTCTTGTCTGCAAAAATAATCTAAATGTTTTCAAGCTGACAGGTGCATGTTACTTTATTTAAACACTTTATCACTAGGATACTTGATGGAATAGGGTTCCAATGTAAGAAATTTTTAATGTAAAAAGATTCTCTGTCGCAACATAACCCAGCTTTGAAATTTTAAAACTATACCCTCAGTGTTTTACATGTGTGAGAGAGTAGCTTTTGTAGGTAGATTAAATAAATCCTCAAAGTCCTTAAAAATCCTGAAATCTTCCCCACAATCTTCCCAACACCTCTCCAAAGACCAAATCATTTCTTCCACCAACTCCAGTCATAAAATCACCATTCATGTCTTAGAGCTTTGCAGGAAGGCTGCAAAGACAAAGTTATATGGAGGCCTGGTGGCGCAGTGGTTAAAATGCAGCACTGCAGGCTACTTCTCCTGATTGCCAGTGCGGCAGTTAAATTCTCACCGGCTCAAGGTTGACTCAGCCTTCCATCCTTCGGATGTCGGTAAAATGATTGTTGGCAATTGTTGGCAATATGCTGACTCTGTAAACCACTTAGAAAAGGCTATAAAGCACTGTGAAGTAGAATGTAAGTCTAAGTGCTATTGCTATAATACCCAGAGGAAAAAAGCTACTGCTGGCATTTGTATCCGTATGATTACATGTGAAAACAGCATCATGTTTGTAAACCTTGATTCAGACTACAGCATTAAATTGTGAACAAATTCATGGAGGCTCTCAGTATATGAGAGGCTGCCACAAAGAAGAGGGGGTCATTTATTCTCCAAAGCACCAGAGGGCAGGACAAGAAACAATGGTTGGAAACTGACCAAAGAGAGAAGCAACCTGGAATTAAGAAGAAACTTCCTAACAGTGAGGACAATTAACTAATGGAACAGCTTGCCTTCAGAAATTGTGGGTGCTCCATCATTGGAGGTTTTTAAAAAGAGGATAGACAGTCACTTAGGTCTCCTGCTTGAGCTCCTCCAAGATTCTATTCTATTCTATTCTATTCTATTCTATTCTATTCTATTCTATTCTATTCTATTCTATTCTATTCTTATTCCATTCCATTCTTATTCCATTCTATTCTATTCTATTCTATTCTATTCTATTCTATTCTATTCTATTCTATTCTATTCTATTCTATTCTATTCTATTCTATTCTTATTCTTATTCTTATTCTTATTCTATTCCATTCTTTTTTCAATGTCTGACCCCCAGCTTAAAAGTTTGATCTCTTAGGGTAGTCTTCTTCAACCACACACCTTCCAGATGAATGGTAAGATCCAGGATCCCAAACCAACATGGATACATTCAGCACATGCAGAAGACACTAAGATAGGAAAAGCTGCTCCAAGGAATTCATGAAGGATGCCACATTCAACATCTATGACTTTTTCATATTCCCACATTGGGAAATGTATTTTAAAATAAAATACACATAAGGACATTCAAGTATATAATTGTAAGCATATTTATATTCCACTGAAATCACGATATCCTTTGGGAGACAAAAACCCTATATGACTCAACTTCTAGAAAAATGGCAGACAATACTCTTGATCCGTATCCAACAATCCCAAGCTTTACCTTGTCCACACCTGAAGACAGGAGAGAAAGGAGAGTCTGCAGAAGAAACCTGTCAC